ATCCTTCCTCATTGCTCTTGCAAAAGCTTGACACGCTCCCCTAATATGTTTTGCCGTGTCTTCATGCCCATGCCTTGGTGGCGAGGCCCTGATATCAGCTGCAGCTCAATCCATCATCCTCTAAATGCATGTGTCAAGCATCTGTCACTGTATGTGTGTGTACGTACGTGCGTGTGTGTGTTTGTATATGTTGTACATATTGGTGTAGGTTACATGCTTGTCTTGTTCTTTAATCAAGGATAAAGGTGAAAAGAGAAGGGGGGGCACGGGGGCCACTGGATGTTATCAAACAGAGTGGCTTTCAGTCGTGTGCATAGAAATTAGTCTCACACACACACACAACCACACAACCACACAACCACGCATTCGCACAGAAACACATGAACACACACTCACACACATCTGATTCTGGGAAGAAGCCTGTGATTTTCAGTCCGTCCAAACGTTGTGCCGTAGTGTGTGTTCAGTTTGTACGATGCATTATTACATTTTGAGTTTTAAACCTTAACCCTTGGGCTTTTGTTATATGCATTTCTTGCATTATTACATTTGGAGTTTTCACCTTAATCCTTGGGCTTTTGTTATAGAAATTAAATAATTATATGTTGTATGTTAAAGTGTAGCAGGCAATTATAAGGCTCTGGTTAGTCTGTTTAAATGAGAAGAAGTCAGTGCAGGGTCTTAACAAGAATAAATGTGCAAGATTGTGTTTGTGTGTGCCTCATAATTACGAAGCCCACTCCTGTCCTGTCTCATGTACGAAAGCTGCCATCATATGGATGTTTGCAGTCACTGCACTTGCATCAGTTGGACTGAATAATGTAAAATGTTGCTGGCAATATTGGATAAAAGCAGGGATTTATACGGCACATCTTATATAGTGTATAGGCTGCATAAAATATATGTCCTTGAGGTTTTAGGTTCTTGGTTTTTGTTCAATTTTTCCCCCCTAATCTTGTCCTTAATTATATAAAAGAATACACACCGAAACACACTGGTCCTGTGAGTATAATTGTGTCTTTTTTAGGTTTTAAGCAAACATTTTAAAGTTAGTATTTTACTCCGTGCGCTGCAATCACCTGGAATTCTAACAGTGATTTGCGACAGTCTTTCAAACACAGCCGTCATACTTTACGGCAGGGTGAAGCGCGAGTCAGGCTGCTGTCAGCAGGTAGGCTGACAAACTAACAGCAACAGATGTACAGCACTTTTTTATTCAGTCCAAACTGTCCCTTCAACATGTTATAGACTTGTTCTAAGTATGTTTTGCCGTAATTTTTATCCTTTCGTGAAGTCGCTAGGCGCCGTTGCTCCCATTGGCTAACAGCAGCTAGCGTTACTGACGCTTCAGGAGACTAAACATGTAGCACAGCACTGTGCATGCCCCCGTACTAAACAACAACATGCCCCCCACTTGCCCTTTTTAACAAACGATTAAAGAGTCGAACGAAACATGACACTGTTTGTTGTAGGTATTTAAATATTGACGTCTTTTATCAACATGCAGCAGCTTCAGGGCCGGTTTACGGCAGTTGTCGTAAACACGAAGCTCTGCAGGGATTTATTTTTTTTATGCAAATACGTTACCAAATAAAATGTACCACAGATGCT